TGATCAGGCACTTGCCCCAGTTAAAAGACAGTTCCCGCAGGTCCTGTCTATCCATTATATGGATGATGTGCTGTTATGTCATCAAGATCTTACAGTTTTACAGCAAATGTTCCCTGTCTTACAAAAGCAATTAAGTCAATGGGGACTTTCCCTAGCCACTGAAAAGGTACAAATAACCGACTCCGGATCATTCCTGGGCTCGGTTATCCGACCTGATTTCATTAGACCACAGAAGGTTGAAATTAGAAAAGATAAGTTACAAACTCTAAATGATTTTCAAAAGTTATTGGGTGATATTAATTGGCTAAGACCTTTTTTAAAAATTCCCACCATTGAATTAAAACCTCTATTTGATATTTTAGAAGGGGACCCGCATATCACCTCCCCAAGGAAATTGGATCCCTCGGCAAGCGAGGCTCTTTGCAAAGTCAGAAAGCTATAACTCAGGCCCAGCTGGATAGGATAGATTATACCCAGCCAATTTTGTTATGTGTCTTGAACACACAAGGTCTACCCACCGCCGTTGTTTGGCAACAAGGGCCTTTATGCTGGGTCCATCCTCGAGCTTCCCCTGCTAAAATTGTTGATTGGTATCCAGCTGCTGTTGCACAATTGGTTATAAAAGGCATTAAAATGACAATAGAATACTTTGGTCTGGAGCCTAATATCATTGTTAGCCCCTATACTCCGGATCAAATACAGGTTTTGGCCGCCACCTCTAGCGACTGGTCAGTCCTATGTGCTTCATTTTCAGGGACCTTTGATAATCATTATCCCAGGCATCCACTTTTACAGTTTGCTTTGGCCCAGCCTTTAGTTTTCCCAAAAATTACCTCTAATACCCCAATTAAGAATGGGATAGTAGTATATACAGATGGTTCTAAAACAGGACAAGGGGCCTATGTTGTAAATGATATGACTTATATAAAACATTTTCCTGAATCTTCCCCACAAGTCGTTGAATGCCTCGTGGTATTAGAAGTTTTACAACAATTTATGGGCCCACTTAATATTGTTTCAGATTCATTATATGTAGTTAATGCAGTTAAAATTCTTGAAACTGCCGGGTTGATTAGACCTTCTAGTAAGGTGGCTCACATATTTGAAGCCATTAGAGCTGCTCTGCTGCAAAGGCGGCATCCTTTCTTTATTGAACACATAAGAGCTCATTCTGGTCTTCCCGGCCCCATGGCAAAAGGGAACGCGCTCGCTGATCAAGCCACTAGACTTGCAGCTGTTGCGCTTTCTTCACCCATAATAGCTGCAAAAGAATTTCATAATAAATTTCATGTTACTTCAGAGACATTACGCAGACGCTTTTCTTTAACCAGAAAAGAAGCTAGAGATATAGTGATACAATGTCAAAATTGCTGTCAGTTTTTGCCTGTCCCCCATCGAGGAATTAACCCGAGAGGTTTGATCCCCTTACAAGTTTGGCAAATGGATGTTACCCATTATGTCCCTTTTGGTAAATTGCAATATATACATGTTTCTGTTGATACTTGTTCTGGAATATTTTTGCCACCCCACTTTCAGGGGAGAAGGCTTCTCATGTGATTCAGCACTGTCTTGAGGCCTGGAGTGCCTGGGGCAAACCCCGCTGTCTTAAAACCGACAACGGGCCTGCCTATACTTCACAAAAATTTAAACAATTTTGTGCACAAATGCAAGTTACTCATATTACTGGATTGCCCTATAATCCTCAAGGTCAGGGCATCATTGAGAGAGCACATCGGACACTTAAATCATATTTATTAAAGCAAAAGGGGGAGCAATAATGGAGCTACCCCCTGGACCGAGAGTGGCCATAGCCATGTCACTCTTTACCCTGAATTTTTGAACTTGGATGATTCAGGGATGAGTGCGGCTGAGCGACATTGTACAGAACCTAAAAGGCCCAAGGAATGGGTGAAATGGAAAGATGTGCTAACTAATCAATGGAAAGGCCCGGATCCTATCCTGATAAGGTCCAGGGGAGCTGTCTGTGTTTTTCCACAGGATGAAGACAATCCGTTCTGGGTTCCGGAAAGACTCATTCGTAAGATGGGGAACCCTGATGATAATGATCATGGCTCAAGCCTGGAGGGCAACGTGAGAAAGAAGATGGGGAATCATGTCGACCTTTCCCCTCCCCATGCCGGTGATGTATAATGCACAAGTGTTTCCTAGATTTTTTTTTTTCACCAATAAAGAGCTAGGGCTAGCTTATTTGCCCCAAGATAATCAGATTCATGCAGTACAAGAAAATCGCTCCCTCTCCTTAAGAGGAAGCTTATGCTTTCATTTTTCCAAAGTAAATGATAATAAAAATAGTATTAACTGTGTTAATTTGAGGAATCAATCGGCTGCCTGGCAAGGCGAGGCTAGTTGGGGAACTGATTTAGAGATTGTAGCCAATGCATCCATCCATGTCACTCTTTACCCTGATTGGGCGCTGCCGGTTAGTACTAATGCTACTCCCCATGATCAGCCAAAGTTAGCCCCATTTTGTAAAGGGATTCAATCAGAAGAGTATATCCTGCCTTGGACTGAATGTCAATCTAGGTATCAACACTGGGTAGGCCCTAATACCTTCACTTTCTCACCCAGCCTAGGGCATCATTTTTTGAATATGACACCCTTGACAACTTGGGTCAATCCCTTTGACGGATTTGACTCCTATGGTAATGATAGGAGGAGGAGCTGGGGAAAAAGGACAAATCTCTTACAATTGGAAGGGCAAATTTTCGGGGGGATCTGGCTCCGGCACTTGGCAAGCTTCAGATATGAAGCATAAAGAATTTATTAGAAAAGAATATGCCCCATCACCAGTTTGTGTTTGGCCCCCCTTTTTATGGATTGTAAGCAATAATTTTATAGGTGAGAATGAGGAATTAAGATGTGATACCAAGAGCTGCTTTTATACATTATGCTGGGATGCCACGAAATATTCTTATGCTGTGGTGACTAGAATGCCGAGGTTTGTGCCCGTGCCGGTGAAAGCCCCGAGTAGCTTGTCTCTGCTACGCACAAAAAAAGATTTTGGCATCTCGGCCATAATTGTAGCCATTGTGGCCACTACAGCAGTGGCTGCCTCTGTGACTGCCTCGGCAATGGCCCTATCCACATCTGTACAAACGGCAGATACTCTTGATGGTCTTTCATCATCAGTATCAGTGGCGCTCGACCGACAAAGTTCGGCAAATACTCAAATTCAGGGAGGGTTGATGCTGGTTAATCAGCGCATCGACCTGGTTCAAGAACAATTGGATATTTTATGGCAATTGGCGCAGTTAGGATGTGAATATAAAATGCCTGGACTTTGTGTTACATCAATACAATATGAAAATTTTATTAGAGCGGCTAATTTGTCCAAAAGTCTTTCTCAGTTCATTTTACAGAATTGGACATTCGAATTTGAACAGATACTGCAGGACTTGAGAACAGCGATCCACCAGAATTGATGTCTCCCTACAAGAAGGACTGTCGTCATGGATCTCTTCTGTCTTCTCTTATTTCAAGGAATGGGTGGGGGTGGGACTCTTCGGGATGTTTCTCTGCTTCGGGATGTTTCTCTGCTTCGGAATGGCAATTTTATTCTTTTTGTTTTGCAAAGTGTTCAAAAAGGCAAAAACAGATAAAGTCATGATTACACAGGCACTCGCGGCTCTAGAGTATGGGGCCTCGGCGGAGGTCTGGCTCACCATGTTAAAGCGTGGAGAATAGCCTTTGATTATCCCCATTTCATTCTGGCTTTCCCTGTCACCTTGGCAGACTCCGGCTATATTTCTCTGCCCCTGCTTCAATAGATCAGCCTTTGCACCTCTGAGTCCGAAATGTTTTGGACATTTGCACCAGAGAAGGTGATCATTGATATTGCAGCCTTTGCACTCCGCTGAGCTCGTCTCATTGCACGCGGAAAGGTGCTATATGGGGTATATTCATCTGTTTCGAACCCTGATGGGCTGCAGAGCCTGACGGTGATCAACGGATGTAGGCCATTCATCTGGTTTCTGTCTCTGGTGACGAGGTGGCCATTAGCTGTCGGCAGAACAGCCCTTGCACCCTCAGCGACTTTGTTGCATTGCACGAGGATGGGTGTTTTAGCCTATGCAGCCCAGTTGGGACACTTTTGTGTGCTTTTATTAAAATAAAAAGGGGGAGATGTTAGGCGCTGCCCTGGAACCACGCCATGGCGAGATGGCGCTGACATCCGCCTGACAGTTGCAATGACAACCCTGCTGCGCATGAGCAGGAGCTCCCTGCCCACGAGGCCGGGGGTGCCTGTGCCTTACGTCACCTCGGGTGACATAATTGGACCAGTAATTAACTGCCACGTCCGAGGCGAGAGAAACTCTCTATATAAGGAGAGTCCCGTTAGGGCGTGGGGTCTTCGCTTTGTGATAGCTTATGCTCCTCCTCTCAGGAGCAATAAAGCTTACTGCAGAAGGATCCTGATCGTGTGCCGCGTCATTCTTGCGGGCGAGATAGAGCGCGGGACAAGTGAGTTCCAGGCAGCAAGGACTGTTACACAGAGAAATTCTCTCTCTCAACTCCCCCCACATACATGCACTCGGGCTGGAGAGATGGCTCCGAGGTTAAGAACACTAGCTGCTCTTCCAGAGGTCCTGAGTTCAATTCCCAGCAAACCACATAGTGGTTCACAACCATCTGTAATGAGATCTGGTGCACTCTTCTGTCATGAAGGCATACATGCAGACAGAATATATAGGTAATAAATAAATCTTTAAAAACAAAACAAAACACAGGCCTGGAGATGACTCAGAGGTTAAGCACTGCTTGTTCTTCCAGAGGTCCTGAGTTTAATTCCCAGCAACCACATGGTGGCTTACAACCATCTATAGTGAGATCTGGTGCCCTCTTCTGGCGAGCTGATATATGTGTAGGCAGAACACTGTGTACATAATAAATAAATCTTTAAAAACAAAACTAAATAAAACACACACACACAAAAGTATAACTTGTGGCAATGGCACAGCCCTTTAATCCCAGCACTAGAGATAGAGGCAGGTGGATCTCTGTGAGTTCAAGGCCAGCCTGGTCTACAGAGCTAGTTAGGACAGCTAGGACTGTTACACACACAGAGAAACCCTGTCTCAAACAAAACAAATAGAACAGAGTGGTTAACTGTGTTGCCCCTGGATGTTACTCTCATTTTTGCATCTATTCTTGCTCTAGACCACTGCTGTCCTGGGCCTCAACATCCCTTCTTCCAAGCTCCTCACATGCCTCATCCCAATGGCCATAAATGTCTTTCTTCTGTTGGTGGGGTATGAGAGATTGAATTAGGGTTTTGCACATGCTAATCCCACACACTCCACCACTAAGCTCACACCTTCTTACTTTGTTCTCAAGGATACAACCTTTGTTCAGGTTCTTCAGTTCTACAAGACCCATCTATCACTAGAAGTGGCTGCTCAGATTTCTTATAATGCAGGCTCACCCCCCACCCCAAGAATCTCCAAACTGTGCCATACCTTAAAGTCCTGTTGCCAATGGCAGGCAAGGGTGTTGGAAGATCTTTTCTTTTTTTCTGTTTATTTCCACTCAGGAATGTCTTCAGAAAAACTATACTTTTTCTTGAGGGAAAAGAAATACCTCCTCCAATGCAATATCAGGAGTCTCCAGTGCCACCCAGAATTTGGAGGCTCTGCCTTTACATGGTACAGCCTGTGAGACAGCAGACCTTTCTGGCTTTCTGAATGAAGCATGAGGACCAGGTGAACCTCTCAGTGTGGTCCAGTTTTGTGATCACCTATGAGCAAACCCTTAGACAAAACATACATAGGTCACCTAAGTGAAAAAAATAAGGACTGTATAAGATACTTACATGTTTATTCTTATTTGGGAGGAAAAAAACTATCTTTTCTTCTTTCAAGGGTACAATCTTGCTACAGGCATCTTTTATATTACTAATAAATAGAAAAGCCTCAGCATTTCAAGATAACACATTTAATTATTTTCTTTAGGACAAACGTATCTCCCGAATGAATGTGTAGAATACTCACAAGTAGTAGTAATTTTAGTAGTGATTGCCTTGAGTAAAATCATACATCAAGATGGATGTCTCACCTTCTAGAAACATAAAAATGCAACTTTAAACATAACACCTCTCTGGCTTTCACATTGGGAAGCTGAGTTTGGTGGCGCATGCTTATAATTCTGTACTTGTGAGGCTGAGGCAGGAGGATTGAGAGTTTGAAGTCAGTATAGATTACATGACAAGACTATGTCTCAAAAACTAAAACAGGTCAGGGATGGTGGCATACACTTATACTTCCAGTACTTGAGAGATAGAGGCAGGTGTATCTCTGTGAATTTGAGGCTAGCCTGATCTATATAGTGAATTCCAGGCCAGCCAGAGCTAAATCAAGACCCTGTCTCAAAAAACAAACAACAAAACCCAAATGAACAAAAGAGAGAGAAAAACCACACACAAAAACAAACAAACAGTTTCACTTTGGGATATCTTTTTAGTGGTTTTTTATTATTATTTTTTTTTCTTTTAAGATTTAGTTATTATTTACACCAGAAGAGGGCACCAGATCTCATTATGGGTGGTTGTGAACTACCATGTGGTTGCAGGAAAGTGAACTCAAGACCTCTGGAAGAAGAGCCAATGCTCTTAACCTCTGAGCCACCTCTCCAGCCCCTATCCTGTGGTTTTAGGTTGGTGGCCAGGTGCAGCCGTAAGAGATCAAGATGAGGCACGAGAAAACAAAGGTGGTGGTGCACACTTGTAACCCCAGCTCTGGAGAGACAGAGGAAAGAGGACCAGGCTCTTAAGGTCAGTAGTATGTAGTAACTCCTGTAGCAAGGACTAGATGGGACTTGCAAACAACAACAACAAAAGAAACAGGCCATTTTGTACTCACAAGTTCTGGAGAGGCAGTCCTCCTCACCTTTGAAGTCTCATGGGACAAGGAAGTACCCATTTGATTCAGGTGGGAGAGCAGGAGCAACACAAGCTATGGACCCATAGCTTCACTGGCGTTCCAAGGGAAAGACAGGCAGAGTCTGTAGGACAGGGACCACCAAGGACTGGCCCCTTGGTGCCTGGGATGACAAGGGAAGAGGAATGTTGTCTACTGCCCTGTAAGGAACTGATAGAGGAGACTCAGCTCCAGATTGGTCAATTTGTATATTAAAGGGCATGCTCTTGGCTGAGTCCTTTGCTATATCTCTAATGTCTGGCTAGCCCTGGGTGGGGCTGTCTATCTCAACAGAAAGTCTTTGAAGCTGCTGGAAAATTTGAAAAAAAAATATATACATATTTATGAGTACAAAGATAGACCTAGCTCAGAGCCCAGACACAGACTCTTCCCCAGATCTTCTAGTAACTCCAAAATTTTGCATTCCTTCTTAGTTCTAAATCTGTATGTCTCTGGTCTCTGGCTTTCAGTCCCTCCCTCCCTCCGTGTACGTGCATGCATGTTTATGCACGTCGGGGACACCTCAGGTGTCACTCACCAGACACCACGTAGGCTAGGCCAGCTAGTCAGCTAGTCCCCAGGGACCCATCTATCTCCACCCTCCATCCTGCCATGGCTGGATGAAACACTCCTACCACTGCCTTGTTTTTCTTTATATAGATTCCAGGTGTCTGTACTTCGGGTCTAATTTTTGTGAGGCAAATGCTTTACTGACTGTTCTCCTCAGGCCCAAATCCTTTTCTGGGACAGGATGGTATGTATTTCAGACTAGACTTGTTATAGGTAGCTCAGGAGGACCTTACACTTCTGTTCACCCTGTTCCCACCTTCCTAGTGCTGGGATGACAGGCCTTCACCACTGTGCCCAGTTTCGCCTGCCAAGGCTTCGTGTCTCTTATGGAAGCACCCTACCAATATCTTGTCACTGAGGCCTTCCTCCCTGGATCAATCTTTCACTTGTGCTCACTCCAGGAAGAGCTACTATCAAAACTGCTACTCTCCTGAGAAACAGCTATTTTTGTTAACATGTTCAGTGACAGATCATGTGCTTTGCATGTATAGCCATTAGTTTAATCCCCAATACTGGAAACAATGCTGCCAGGTTTCCATAGTAACATCTTATGAGTAATATTATGTCTTAGCCATGAAATACACAAAAATGGTTGAAAACCAGAATTAGGAGCCCCAAGAAAAGTCTGAAAGATAAGACGCCTAGAAGACTAACTTTCACCGCTTTCTTACTATGGATCCCTTTAACATCTTTCCCATTCGAATTGTTTTCTCAATCTGTTGCCTTTTGATGGTCTTGTATTTCTAAGGCACCTTTAGAATTTTTATTTATTTATTTATTTATTTGGTTTTTTGAGACAGGGTTTCTCTGTGGCTTTGGAGGCTGTCCTGGAACTAGCTCTTGTAGACCAGGCTGGCCTCGAACTCACAGAGATCCGCCTGCCTCTGCCTCCCGAGTGCTGGGATTAAAGGCGTGCGCCACCAACGCCCGGCCTGAATTTTTATGTTTTTTAAAGTAATATAATGAATATGTAAAGCACAAGCATAGCATATTTTGCATCATATGGGCACACATTTTTGAGTGAGTGGTCTTGAGTTTACAGTTGAACTGGCCTCATACTATAAAGTTAGAGCATCTGGCTTTTGAGGCAATATTTCTTGCACTGAGGTCCCTTGAAATCCAAGTCTGCAAATATACATGAGGAGTTCACAATTACAAGCCCTATCCCCCTCCTTTTTTTTTTTTTTCAGTGCTGAGCTTTGAACCCTGGGCCTCGTGTTCCATAGGCAAGCACTCTACCACTGAGCTGCACCCTTAGTCCCTCATTGTTTCTTGTGTTTGAAAGACCTTGGCCTCAAACACATTCATCTTTCTTCTTTCAGGAAAGGCAAATGGAAATAAACAGTTTTTCTTTTCTTTTGGTTTTTTTCGAGACAGGGTTTCTTTGTATTGTTTTGGAGGCTGTCCTGGAACTCGCTCTGTAGACCAGGCTGGCCTCGAATTTACAGAGATCCACCTGCCTCTGCCTCCAGAGTGCTGGGATTAAAGGCGTGCGCCACCAATGCCCAGGGGAAATAAACGGTTTTTTAAAATGACTAACATTTCGTAGTTTTCTTTAGTAATCAACCAATTTGAAAAAAAAATGCCACAAGAAAATCTGAGCAACCTAGCGATCCTTGGCTATATTGTTGCAGGAGCTGTGGAGTGCTTCACGGTGGTTACTTTCTATTCACAACCACCGAATCCCACGTCTTTATTCTGTGCTGCTTCCCATGCTGTCTTCATCCTTGGCTAGTGAACAAACATCCTGTATACTATTGAGACTACCTTTTCAGGCCACTCCCTCAAATACATAAGCAGGAACTGGTTCTACCACTATGTTTGATAAGCCAGGTTTTTGCAGTTTACACTGTAAAAACAGTAAAAGACAGTGTTAATGATTCAACTAGTGATCTTAGCACTTGGGAGACACAGAAAACAGGATCAGAAATTCAAAGTCATCTCTGTTCCATAGCATGTTCAAGGCCAGCCCAGGATACATGAGACTCTCAAAGCAAAGCATATAATAAAACAAAGTCAAAAGACAGACTGAGCGTGTAAGCATTAGAAGTGTATTATTGTGGTTAGGGAGGAATGGAAATTAATGGCATGGAAATATATCCTTATTGTCCCCCAGTTTACACGTGTCCTTTTAGTGTCTCCATTTCCTCTCTGTGACTTTGTCTTCCTGGTGACTCATTTTTGCTTCCTATCATTTTATTAAGCCACTTTTGTTTTGCCTTTCTCTCGTTATGTTTCAGGCCATCCAATTTTTGTGGGCATAATACATACTTTTAAGACTTTTACTCCATACTTAGCATTTATATGGATACTTAGTAGATGCAGGTCTTTGTTGTGCAGAGGAATTGGCACTTTACTTTTAGGGTTTTATTTCTAAGACAGTTACTGTGTAGCTCAGGCTTGGTCTGGAATTCTAGAAGCCCTATGAAAGTGCCCCAGATCTGTAATCCTTCTACCCCCATCTCTGGTGTACTGGGGCATATTCAGTTTTTCTTATTTTGAACTCAATCTTGAAGATTAAATGTCATGTCTTTTTCTTATAGGGGAAGAAATCAACCTGAAGAAATAACTTATAAAAGAAACCATAGATAGTACATGACAGTCTTTTTGTTCTGTGGTTATTTTCATACAGGGTCTCATGTAGCCCAAGCAAGAATGTAATTTGCTACGTAGCCAAGGATAACCTAGAGTTCATGACCCTCCTTGTCTGCACCTTCCAAGTGCTAGGCATAAGCCATACTGCTCTCCTCACAGGTTCATGTTTTAGGGAACAAAACAAAACCCAAGAATAAACGGCAACTGTAGCAGCAGAGTAATTTCATGCTCCCCCAGAGACCTCACCGAGGGTCATAACAACCTGCAAAAGTCTCATTCAAATCTACCTTCATGGCCAGAATTTTCACTATTTTTATATGAACTATTGCCTCAAATGGGACAGTTTCTGACCAACTGGTGCAGATATCCAAATTGCACCATCTTCTATTGATGAGGTAAAAGTTTTGGTGCTATGTATGAATTCAACAAAAACTGAAATATTGATCACACAGTATGCTAGGGACAACGGGGATCCAAACTAATGCAAGGGATATTAAAGAACCTAAGGAGCAGGTTCTGGTCAGGCAGGGTGGGTGGAAGGTGTATTTCGTGGATGAAAACACAGGGAGAGAAAGCATGGCTTTGGAGGCACAAGGAGGCTAAATGCTGAACCACTGAGTTACTGGGGAAAGAGAAGCGAGAGACATTCTAGAACCCACTCAAAGAGTTGTGGAAGGGACCAGTTCTAGTGATTTCTGATAATTAAGGAATTTGGACTGAAAAGCTATATACTAATTCTAGGATTTGCTTTTTGAGAGGCGGGTCTCATTCTGTAGCCCAGGCTGGAATTTGTGATCTAGCTGAAGCCTCTCGAGTGTTGGGATTACTGAATGAGCCATCATGCTGGGCTTTGTTTTCCATTTAAAATGTATGTATATGCATCTTTTGCCTGAACGAAAGTCTGTGAACCACTTGCATGCCTGGTACCAGAAGAGGGCGTCTGATCCCCTGGACCTGAACTGCCGTGGGCGCAGGAATAGAACCTGGCTAAAAAGGAAGAGCCCTTAACCTCTGAGCGGTCTCTTCTGTGTTTTCAATGGGTTGATTTCCGAATACATTGGGGATTTTCTCCTTTCCATGACATCTTATCTGTCAAATCTGCTGCATTGCCTCCACCCCCACCCCACCCTCCGGCCGTTGCCAGCACCGCAGTCCCAGTCCATCAGGTTCGTTAAGGGCCTTCTTTCTAACCAGGCACAGGACCCAGACTCTCCCCGTAGTGTACAGTGCACACAGGATCAGACTAACCATCGCAAAAGGCCGCACCGGTACAATGACGCCCGCATTACCCATCCTCATGTGTACGGCCATGGCTACATCTGCTCCTACTTAGAATCCTTCTCCCACGAGGCCAGCCAGCTTCCTTAATAAGCCTCCCCAGTGGAGCTTATCGCACTCTCCCCAGCCTTCTAACCGCAACCCCTTCTCCCGCGGCTCAGCGCCATCCTGAGGCACCTTCTCCGACGGGCGAGCAGCAGCTCGTTCCCGCCTCTTTGCTCTCGGCTCACCCAGCCGACTGCACCAAGCGTTCCTACCCTGTATCAACTCGAATGTTTTCACGGACCGTTTTCCTTTGTCAGTACAGGCCTCACAGAGCCTGGCTAAACACCGCAGAGGCGCAGAACAAACGCTCGTCAACTTTAATTCAACCCAACGCGGCGGGGTTTGTCGGAAGCTGAGGGCGTGCGGAGGGACAGAGGGAGGGGACAGGGCTGACAACACCGCAGGACACGAGTGGAAGCTCTAGGCCCCACACAAAAGAGACTTCTGGCAAAAAATGCTGAGGCCAGAGGCGCAGAGCAAAGGAGGGTCAGCGGAGAGAGATGGCCGCTCCTTCCCGCCGCCCCCTCGGGCCGCGGCCGTTGGTGGGTGTGGCGACCAGTCTCGCGGGAGCGGCGGTTGGGCGGGCCGTTGTCACCGAGGGCGGGGCGAGTTGCTAAGGAAATGACCGCCCGCAGCGGCTCACCGCGCCAGCAGGGCGGGGTCTGGAGCAGCGCGTTTCCGCTTCCGCTCTCTCCCCGCTCCCGTCCCGTTACCGCCTCCTGTCCGGCCTCGCGCCTTTCGCCGGCACCTTGCGTCGGCTGCGCAGCCGGGCCCGCTCCGTGCCACGCGCGCCCCCGGGGCCCCGGCCCCGGCTCCGGCAAGGGTCGCGTCCTGCTCGCCTTCCCCACAGGCCGCCGGCCAGCCGCCGCCATGGGTGCCTACCTCTCCCAGCCCAACACGGTGAAGTGCTCCGGGGATGGGGTTGGCGCCCCGCGCCTGCCGCTGCCCTACGGCTTCTCCGCCATGCAAGGCTGGCGCGTCTCCATGGAGGTGAGGCGACAGGGCCCCGGAGGCTGGCCACTGCACGGCCAGACCCTGACAGAGAAAGGGAGCGGGGGGAGGGGATGGGCTCTCCTCCTCAAGCAAGGGTCCCTGACGAGAGCCTGCGGCCACGGTGCGGGCGGCGGCGGCGAGCGCGGGATCCGGGCGGAGAGGGAGCTGCTCGGGCTTGGGGACCGCGGCACGAAGGCCGGTGGCGCCGAGAACCCTGCCATGTGGGGAGAGGCACCTTCCGCCCACTGGCCGCGGGCTCTCCATGCCTTCGCGCCATCCTCTGGTGCCAGCCCAGCCCTCCAGTCTTACAGGCGGCGTGGGGTGTAGTTGTCAGAGCCGAGAGGAAAGATTCGCTATTTGTTCGCTTTTTGGCGGAATAGATGGGAAGGACTGGATCGTTTTTATTCTTCAAATATGTGATGTGGCAGGCCTCTTTGGGCTAAAAACTTGATGGAGAAAAGGAGCCCGGGCAAATAATGTGTTTCCCATTCTTAACCCTTCGTTGCTTGCCTTAGACACCTCGTGTTAATTTCAGAGGCTCCGCTTGACCTTCGAGAATTGTCACTCGTTTGTATTCTTTTCGAAACCTTTTATGACCTTTAGGAAAAGAATTGTGTCTGTCACCAGGCCTTTTTTTTTTTAATTATGCTTGCAATTTTTTTCTCACTCGATTTCTTTAAAACTTACGGAGTTGTCATTCGCCTGTGCTTATAATTTAGTTTACTCGATTTTCAGTCATTTCAGCAATTTATTTGTCACAATCTACGGATAATTTTTTAAAAAGAAAAACCCACTTGGAATGAAAGGGAAAACAACTATCAGGGTTAACGCTGTGGAGCAAATGGATGTGGAACTACAATAAACAAGGAAACGGTGGAAGGATAGGAATAGGAAAGATGGACGATGTCTTTGAGAAATTTTGTGAGCTCTAGGTAAAGGGACTAGGTAAATGCTCTAATTATGTCTGGAATTGAGGGTTTATCCACTTGGTAGGTGGGCTTCAGGTAACAGCCAAATAGGTCTCCATTGGGGATTTTTCTCAAATCCCTCGCTCCTCCCTGTGGTTAGCTCTGGAATGCCAGTGTGAACTTAAACGATTTGTTCTCAGACCCCCAAGTTTATTCTTTCATTAGTCTTTAATAACTAGCATTACCAATAGCATTTAGATAAACAGTTTCAATAAAGAGGGGGTGTATTCATCTGCCTCACCCTGCTTAGTGCCCACGTTTGACAGCTTGGAAACTGAGGCCTAAAAGGTTAGGACACTTGGACCTAGATACAAAGAATTGGTATTCATTAAGTTGTTCCAGACATTAGGTGCTGTTCTTATAGCTTTTGAACTAAAGCACAGCTTTCACATTTCTCACTATAGAATTATAAATGGCTATAGTTAGAGACACCTGGATATAGCTTTCGGAAGGCAAGCCTTAGGGTGACTCAGTGGCTAAGAGCACTTGTGTTGTTGCAGGGGACCAGAGTTCGATTCTCGGCACACAATGTCAAGCAGCTCACAACCACCTGTATCTCCAGCTCCAATCAGAATCCAGTGCCCTATTCATTCATTCTCTCAAAAGGGTGTGGGGAGCTCACAGTGTTAGTGGCTGCTGTTTGGGTTAGTTATTCTTTTAGTGTCTGTCTCCTCTCATAGACTTTAACGCTTCTCCTTCCTTGATTTCCATTTCTGTGCAATGAAATGGTTTTTCCATTTAGTAGGGGAACTTTCTAGTTTTCTTTATAAATTGACTTGCTTGTTTCCAAACCCAGGAATTCTGTGTTTTTCTTATCTGCTAAACATAATAGTCTTCATTCTAAGAGTCAATCTCCTTGAGCATTAAAGCCTTTCTGCTGTGCTATTCCTGAATTTAGTCTTGTTTAAGCAGTTAAATATGCCTAATCTTGGAGTACTATTTCAGATCCTTTTCTTCTCATAGATACTTCTCTTTCTAGGTTTGTTCCCTCCCTCAAAGTATTACATAGTATCTTTGCTATTGTTAAAAAACAAAACAAACAAAAAACTGGAGGGTCGCTGTTGGCACAACCTTTAATCCCAGTGCTAGGGAGGCAGAGGCAGGTGGATCTCTGTGAGTTTGAGGCTAGCCTGGTCTATTGAGCTAGTTGTAGGACAGCCTCCAAAGCTACATAGAAACCCTGTCTCAAAAAAAAAAAACTAAGATACTATGATTTCTAGTCTTTAAATGAAATCATTTTGAGAAACAAGCTTTTGACCTAGGAGTGTGTATGTGTGTGTGTGTGTGTGTGTGTATGTGTGTATATATATATATATATATATATATATATATATATATATATCTCAATAGTCCAGAAAGGTCAGCAAGGGTTATGGTACATCTTTGTCCCTTTTTTTTTAAAGAAACACACTTAATTTCACCTATTAATGAAGCCCATTTACATTTTGGCCTGGTTCTAATGACTGAGTTCAGGTAAGGTTAATTAGCATACTTTACAGAGTTTGCTTAGATTTTAGCCTTAGACCTGTTTTACTCTCTCTTGAAGCAAGGGTGGATGGTAGTCACCAAAAGCTGATATTTTATACTTTTTGCCTCTTTCCAACCCTCTTGCTGTGAAACCAGAATTTGGGGGAGGGGGGAGCGTTGACAAAATAGCATAGCAATGTTTCCTCCATCATGATTTGGAAGGATCCTCCAGCTGGTTGAGCTGTGTGCTGTGGGCTTAAGAGTAGGAGGAGGTGCTGAGAAATACGAGTTGTGAGGTTTTGGTGACTGACGACAAGTCCAGTCTAAAGGCAGTGTGCTATTGAAAAGGAATCTTGAGGTTCCTGTGAAGAGGCAAAACAGTTTTCTGTGAGAGTTAGGATTTTACAAAATTCAATAAATATTTTTCTGTTTTTTAAAAAAGGCTGTGTCAATGTTTTGTATTTTATTTTTGGTGTGGGTATATGAGTGTGCTACCACACATGTGAAGTTCAAAGGACAGCTTGTGGAATTTCATCTCTACTACTACCATGTAGGTGCTAGGGATTGAGCTCAGGCTGCCAGACTTGGTGGCAAGTGCCTTTACCTACTGTCACCTCTGCAGCCTTTTGGGGGAGCTGAGGAGAGAAGACCAGGTCTTACTATGTAGCCCTGTCAGTTCTGGAATTTGCATGTATTCTCCTGTCTCTGTCTCCTGAATGCTAGTATTACAGGTATGCATTGCCATGCCCTATTAGGTATTGATATATTTTGAGTCTAATTTTGAGTAGTAGTCATAAAAGATTATCGAGGGTCTAAAGAGATGATGACTTACCAGGTAAGAGCACTTGATACTTTTCCAGAGGACCCTGGTTTGATTCCCAGCACCTATGTGGTGGCCTACAGTTACCTGTAACTACAGTTCCAGGGGATCTTTTTTTTTTCCCTCCTTTTTGGTTTTTCAAGACAGGGTTTCTCTGTATTTGCTTTGGAGGTTGTCCTGGAACTAACTCTGTAGACCAGGCTGGCCTTGAACTCACAGAGATCCGCCTGCCTCTGCCTCCCAAGTGCTGGGACCAAAAGGGATCTTAACAGCTGCTTCAGGCCTCCTGAGGCACTAGGTACACATGTGATGTACACATACATTCAGGTAAAATGTCTGTGCAAATAAAATAAAAATATATCTTTAGAGAACATCTAGAATTGAATATAATGCATATACCACAATTGGCCTTTTAAAATTAGAAAGGTAATTCCCTTCCTAACTGCAATGGAATGTTTTGTCTTCACTTACAAGTATTTAGATAAACATGTATATCATAAGCGGAAGTGGTCAGTGGATTTAGAGACAGGACAGCTATCAGGAGACTGGCATCAGTGAAGGGAATTAACTAACCCTTTAATATGGATGCATATGTGGCTTATAAAGTCAGAGGGGTTGTGGAATATATGAGTTAGTAAGACCAAGGCCTAATAGCCTTCCTTATTCTGGTGTATTCTAGATCATCTCTTCTAGACATCACAATAGTATATTTCTGGGTTTCATGCCACAAATGAAAGAAAAGGACACCCCCTTCCCCCCCTCATACACAGGGTTTCTCTGTGTGGCCCTGGCTGTCCTGGCACTCACTCTATAGACCAGGCTGGCCTCCAACTCAGAGATTCACCTGCTTCTGCCTCTTGAGTGCTGGGATTAAAGGCATGTGCCACACCCATTTTACAAAGAAAAATTTTGTTCATAATTTGGAGGTTCAAGCATGGTGTTAGAATCTGCCCCACTCTGGTGAGAAGCATGTGGCAAAATGTTAGCACATGTAGAAGAGATCATTTGGAAGCAAAAAGACCTGGAACGACTCAGGCTGTCTCTTCATAATAAGCAGTCTTATGGGAGTAATTCAACATACTAGGCTTGACCCATTCCTACAAGCCATCGTTACTCTTTCATAAGGCTGGAGCCTTTACCTAATTCTAGGTACCACTTCTTTAAGATTCTATTGCCTCAACACTACTACACTGGGACCTGACCTCTCTAGAGCATATACATGTCTAGGCGTAAACCACATCAGAACCTTAGCACCATCCGAAGCAGACATGGAGGACCTGCTCTATTATAGTAGCATTAGAACCCAGAGCAATAAAGAAATTTAAAAGTCTTTGCTTTTGCTTGCTGGTTTAAAGTCTGGCTTTGAACATAGGACTACTTTCTCCCCATGGAACATTGAGTGATAGTGTGAGGTAGTTGGGAAAGGCCTTTTAGAGTCGTTGAGGTGTTGAGTAT